CAAAATTATTTTGGAGTTACCACAAGGCTATCTTACACCACCATGGAAAATCAACTTCGAAAATAACACATAATGGCAAAACAGCAACTACACCAGCTGGTAAGGCAGAACTGTTCAATTCATATTTCTCTTCTGTATTTCGTCCTCCCTCTTCGCAACAAGATATCGACAATAGGAATTTACTAGATTATCCTCCACCCGAAGTACTGTTATCCGAACTCACTGTGACAGTCGAAGATGTTACAAATTATCTCAATGCTCTGGACATCACGAAAGCAAGTGGGCCCGACGAAATCCCTGCTCGTCTCCTTAAAACTTGTAGCAATGAAATCGCGCCAAGCCTCTGCTCCCTCTTCAACCGATCGCTAGAAACAGCTCGTTTACCGTCGGAATGGAAAATGGCCAATATAACTTCAGTGCACAAAAAGGACTCCCTTGAACTAGCCATCAACTACAGACCTATCTCCCTGCTGTGCATAATAAACAAAGTTCTAGAACGTCTTGTTGGGAACAGTCTGCGTGCTCAGGTAAAACATCTCATCACAACCCTGCAACATGGTTTTCAACGCAACCGCTCGTGTGCCACCCAACTGCTTGCAGTCCTCCATGAAATTGGGAAGAATCTGGACCAAAATGTTCAAACTGATGTACTGTACTTAGACTTTGCGAAGGCTTTTGATACCGTAGACTACCAGATCCTTTTAAAAAAACTTAAACGTTTTGGTGTAGTAGACCGCATGCATGATTGGTTCAAAGATTATTTGCATCAACGATTCCAACGAGTTGTTGTAGACGGTGCAGTCTCCGACTGGGTACATGTTACTTCGGGCGTTCCGCAAGGAAGTATTTTGGGTCCTATGCTATTTGTAATATTCATAAACGATTTACCAGACGTTGTGCCAGATTGTATCTCTACAGGACTTTACGCAGATGACACCAAACTCTACAGGAACGTATCAACTATCGGTGACTGTAAGAAATTACAAGACGCTTTAACAGAACTTAGTTCTTGGAGTTATCAAAATAACATGAACTTTAATGCATCAAAGTGCAAAGTTCTGTCCATAACACGCAAGGTCAATCCATTGCATTTTCAGTACCATATGGATTCTATCAAGTTACTTCGAGTAAACGAAGAAAAAGATCTCGGGGTGATCATTACCGAGAATTTGTCATGGGAATCACATCTTACCTGCATTTGTGCGAAAGCTAACAAATTACTCGGTCTATTAAAGCGATCATGTATTTCAATTATTGACAGTAGTGTTCGAAAGACTCTCTATTTGACGTTGGTTAGGTCCAAGTTAAGTTATGCGACTGAGGTTTGGTCTCCAGCAAGTTCCTTATTGAAACAAAAGGCTGAGAAGATTCAGAGACGTGCTACGAGATGGATCCTGCGCGTCAAAGCCGGTGAACTATCCTACAAAGAGAGACTTCAGCAACTGGATATGCTCCCTCTTGCGTACGATCGCGAGGTCAAAGACTTAGTATTTTTTTATAAGGCTGTGAACGGATATATTGACATAGATGTCTCAAATTTTGTTAACTTTGTCAATCATGGACGGACACGTAGAGCATTGAGATCCAAATACTTAGAAACTCCGTTGTGTAAAACTTGTACGTACAGTTCGTCGTATTTTAATCGTGTTGTCAAATTATGGAACAGTGTTTGTGTCTCGATCGATCCTTCCAGTTTTACATCGCCATCGTCTTTCAAACTATACCTCAAGATGAGGTATAAGAATATTCTGGAAACAGTATTTGATCCGGACATGACTTGCACCTGGTCACTTAAACGTGATTGTGGTTGTCACAAATAATAAACTAACTTAACTAATCAAATTAATGTGCATGCATAATATTAATATTTATTTATTAAGTAAATATGTTATACAGGGTGCCCCAGAGGGGACCAAAGCTGTTGAGATGGCGTGTTGCTTGGGAATTGAATTGCCTTAGCACTTTGCTGAACCCATAAGTGCATAAAAGCTTGACAAAAGTAAATTTTACGAATAAAGAAACTGTTTAAGAAGCTGCTTTAAATTCCAAAGAGCAGATAATCGTGAGCTTACAAAGATATTTTAATTTCTTCAATACTCATATTATATGCATCATGTCGATCATATTTACGTATCTTTGCGTTCAGTTGGTGCTGAGGCGTTCGGATTCTGGCAGTGCGTTGTTTCAGTGGTTTTGGTTTTTTTGGGACACCCTGTATACAGTATACTGCGAATTAAAAGGTTTATGTTAGGAAGAGGAGGGGCACCATGCAATGGACTTTACGTCCAGTTTGTGCCTTGTCCGTTTGAGTACAGCTCTTTAATTGTATGTTAGATGAATATTTGTTGAATTAATTTGTACTCAATAAAGTTTAACAAACAAAAGTATTTTAAAAGAGACCAGGTTGTTTGAAAATCCTAAATGAATGCTAAAAATCGTCAAAACATTCTGGTGTCTGAGCCAGAGTGTCATCGAATTGCGATGTAATGTAAACAGAAATTATAGCAAGTTGATGTCAGTCAGCTTAGATGGTCCAAGCCAAAATTATATCGCATTTGAAGTTTCAAACTGAGTTAAAATAGTGGAAGAAAAGCCGTAATTATACTTATTGTTACAATCCATTTAATAAAATGCAACATTTTTTTTGTTTTAATGAAAAAATCAGTTATTTTCATGAGAACGATTTGTTATTCCATCTCAATTTTTTTAATCTCCAATCGCAATAACGTAAAGTATTATTATCCGCGAACCAATGAGTCAAATTTAAGAAACAACCCACTGTTAGAAAGCTGAATGGCTACGCTTTAAAATGAATGTAAACTTTAACGTTTTCATCTATTATTTGTTTAGCAATTTACATTTCAGTCGAGGATTGCGCTTTTTTTTATACACCCTGTATTACTTTCCTTCGCTCATAACCAATATATCCGCGTGCAAAAATGAAAAACCTCTTTCGGAACCTGTGACCGAGTCAGTAGAATCTAGAATTATTAATTAAACTAATTATAAGTAAGCTGCACCCTGAATTTTAGGCGGAAATCAGGTAGAGTGCTGCGCGCAGGCGAATTTATATGAATCTCGATATGAATTTATTTGTCATGTGAATTTGTTGACTATTAAGAACAATATTTAAACTCTAGTATTTTACATTTTAAAGCTTTCAAAATTGTTGTGTAAAGGCTTTGTTTTTAAGAGTTGTACGAAATAAATGTACCATTCTGTTTCTGTATTACTTTATATAAGTATTGATGAATTCTAGTTGCCGAAATATACTTCGGTTAATCAAGGAAATTTTAAAGCAAAATCAAGGAAATTTGAATGATGCGTTGTGGAAACACTGATAGCCGGGCCGGGTGGAATTAGTACCCTCGCCCTCCATTAGACCAGTAAGTTTGACCCGATATACCCTATGCCCAGGGGCGGATCCAGCTCCTGAGCTGACTGATGCATACATAAGACGTCGCATTTGTAGGGGGGTGCGTGGTTATCCTCCCCCGGGAAATTTTGAAATCTAGGACCTCGAAATGCGATTTCCTGCGTTCTGAGCGGACCCTTTTGTTGCAATTCCTATGTCAGAGTCACAAAAATTTTGCTGCATTTTTGGAAAAACACGTAAAAAACTTGAACCTATAACGGAAAAAAAAAATTATTTCTCCACCTAAGAAAAAAAAATTGCTTGTACAAGTGTAAGTCTCTATTAAAAAATAGTCAGTACTGTGCTTCTTGTAGCCTTTACTTTTCCATTGAAAAACATTTCGGCAGAAAATGACGACAACGCAAATACACACATACTGTGTAACAAAGGTGCATACAGTGTGCTCCACTAGTTGCATTGCTGGACTCAGAAGACAGTGTTATTATGTTGTTTATGAACCACCTTCCCCTATTAATTTCCAATGTTCCATGAGTAAAATCTTCTAACATTAGAATTTAAAGTAAAATAACATATGGTGCATAAAGATTAAAGGTATTTTGTGCTTTACTGGGTAAATATATGCAACTCTGTCTTATGCTGCTAATCTTACACTGCATGACTGTGTGGTTGGCATCAGCTGGTCAATTTCATTTGCCCCTAGGCTAGCTGCCTTTCAGATGAACTGCATGGTGAATAGCCCACACTCTGAATACTGAGAATATTGCCTGGTGGCGAGGAAACCAGTAAACTAACACACACAACAAACACTGGGTTTAAAATTATATAAATATATAACTAGGTACACACACGTTTTAAATCAATAGAGACTGTGTGCAAATTAATTTAATGAAGCTATCTTAATTGGAAATTGTTTGTTAAATAAACCAATACCAACTGTTTTTTAAACAATGATAAACATGACATAATTTAATCATATGTCTTCTATCTGTCCCCTTTTGCCTGCCTTTCAACTAATATTAATACAGTACTCCTTTAAGAAAGGCTGCACAGTAGTATTGATGAATATTTAATTTTCCCTATATTATCTTGTCAAATAATCCATACACTTATCAATGGTAATTGTAATCCTCAGGGTGGCATGCTGGCTATCCAAAACATAATACTGGGATAATTAGCATTTACAAATATATAATTTAATTAAATATATTTTCCAAACTATCCCACTTTTGTGAGCAAATTTCATAATTATAACCTGTATACACCAGTTACAGTATATACAGTATTTATACCGTCCATCATTTTATCATTGATTCTAAGTTTAAATCTGTCAGGAGAATGTCATATGATATATACAGCTTATATCAAATTATATTTGCACAGACAAAGCATATAAACACTCAACTATGGTAGGCGAGCAAACCCAGGTAATCATCTTTGTTTGAAAAATATCCAGCTAGTGTATA